CCCAAAGTGTTCCCCTACTTTTACTTCAGTCACCTGCCCTGCCTTATTGCCCAAAAGAAGGTCTAGTTTTGCTCCTTCCCTAGTATGAGCATCCATATATTGATAAAAGAAATTTTGTTGAGCACATTTGACAAGCACTTCACCATCCAAACCTTTAACACTGTGGTAGTCACAGTCAATGTTTGGAAAATTAAATTCCCCCATTGTTACAACCTTATTATGCTTACATATATCTGAGATCTCCCTACATATTTGTTTCTCAATTTCTGTTACTATTGGGTGGCTATAGTACAATCCCATCAAAGTGATCTTTCCTTCCTTATTTGTAATTTCTATCCAGATATTTTCGCTGGACGTTTTTTCAGAAATATCTTCCCTAGTTACAATTGTAATGTATTCCTTAATCAAAAACACCACCACTCACCATCCCCAACATCAGCCTTTCTTGCCTCCTTTTCTATTCTTCCTATAACATCTAAAACCAGGAACATTGAGCTGTCAGTCTTGTCCATCTCTCAGCCACATTTTTGTAAAGATACGATGTCCCAATCCCATGTTCTTAAATATGCCGAGTTCATCGGACTTACTTGTGAGATCTCTTGCAATGAAATAAATTCAATTCAGTTCTTCAGAGTTACTACAGACTTTGACTCTCTTGTCTTTCTTTTCTAATTGACATACTCTCCTCACATTCAGAACCTTCCCCATCAATCCTTCTGTTTACACTGCTGCTTATAATTCCTCCACTCACCTTCTCTATCAGAATAAAGTCTCCCTTAATGGAATAAGCAAATCTCCCTGCTAAGATATTAGTCCCTTTCCAGTTTAGGTTAGATCCATACCTTTTGAACAGGTCTTGTCTATCCCAAAAGACATTCCAATTGTCCAAAAACCTGAATCTCTGAACAATACACCAGCTCTTCAGCCATTGATTTATTTCCTCTAACCTGTTGTTTCTTCCCTTGTTTGCATTTGACATTGGAAGTAAACCAGAAATTGTTACTTTTAGGTTTTATTTTATCTGTCCTGAGTGAGTCGACAGTGCAAGGGCATGCAGGGTTTGTACTATCCGGGTTGAGATGAGTGACAGAAATTGAGGAAAGATGTTGCTGGGAATGGTGAAAGTGGTAGGGGATTTCCTTCATGGAAAACGGGTGCAAGGGCAGGGATAAAGTGAGTGTGCGGTATCAGAAAAAAGTGAAAAATGTCATTGACCTTCTTCCTAATTTGCTGTGCATATCTCCAGATGGCTGAGACTGAACTAATCCGGGAGGGAATCCCGGACCAGGCTGGTATGGTCTGGTTGAATCGGAGGTAGTAGGAACTGCAGATGCTGGAGAATCCGAGACAACAAGGTGCAGGGCTGGATGAACACAGCAGGCCAAGCAGCATCATAGCCTTTCTGCTCCTATGATGTTGCTTGGCCTGCTGTGTTCATCCAGCACTGCACCTTGTTGTCTGGTATGGTCTGGTGTTGTGGCTTCCCCTGTTGGTCCTGGGGGTGCAGGATATCCTGCCTCTGCACAACTCACCCAGCAGCTCCAGTGCTAGCTCCCTGCCCACAAAGCAAGTCACCAATATTGTGTTCTCTGCTATGTCCAGGACCAATGTCAGGAACTATGCAGGGCAGCTCTGGATTAACTGTCCAGGTATACAATATCCTTTTAAAGATGGCACCATTGCCAGATTTCTGAATATCTAAGCAATGGCAAATTGTTCTGGTATGGCAAGTGAAAGAATGGAGGTGGAATCAGACAAGAAGGACACCAGAGGAGTGCGGTAGATAGTTAATGAAGCAAGTTTGTGAAGCTGTAGCAAGAAATCTTTGCTCACTGACCTGAATTGACAGTTAACCTAAGGAATGTAAGATTCAGCTCTCAGAATCTGTTTTATCATCTTGTCTACTTTACTCCTATATTATACTTCTTACGTTTTTATCAATTTGTTACAATTGAGTTAGAAGAGTGAACTGGTTGCTTTCCTTGTCTCACTCTTCTCTTGGAGAAAATAAAGTTTGAATTTAAAAAGGGAGGGGATATTGCCAATTATAAGGTACATTATGCATGTATATATTGGACTGTATACAGCTCTACATCAGATCAAAATTTATCCAGATTCCTTAAATAATAAATACAGAGCTAATGTTTTACAAGCAAAATTTACTCTCGCAACAATGTAGAGATTAATGTCAAAAGGTTTAAACAATGCAAATATATGCAACTACGCTGCTTGTAAAATAAAATACTCACACATATGAAACCAACAAATTTGGAGAAAAAGAAAACTAGAAACTCTGCAGAGCATTATTTTAAATGTACTTTGACCAAGTACCGGCTAACTCAGAAATAGATAATTATTCACATTGTCCTAATGTTATTCTGTGGCTAAATTCAACTTGTTCACCAACTGCTGGCACTTGGGATTCCATCCTGGATAGGGGTGGTAGATTCTGGATTTTCCTTTAGAAATTCTTGGGTTGCTTTTGTAGGAATCCTCCACTAGTGGTGATGAGGGTTTCAGTGAGTTTACAACTCACTAAATTTAGTAACTGGAATTACTAAGAAAAAAAAGACAGAGAGGGAAAAGGCTGTTGCTTCAGGAAAAAAAAAATGACTTTTTGGCTGCGTGTGCTCACATCTAATGTTTTTTTCTTTCAAAAACTGAGTCATGTGACCTTTCAATGAAAATATTGTGGACTCAATGACCCCAGTTGAGTAACATAGGAAAGAAACATAGGAACATAGGAATTAGGAGCAACAGTGGGCAATTCAACTGTTCAAGCCCATCTTGCCATTTAACATGATCATGCTGATCATACCCTGGTCTCAACTCTACTTTCTTACCAGGTCCCCAACGCCCTTTATCCCGTGTTTCATCAGAAACTTATCTATTTCTTTCTTGAATCTGTTGATTGATTCTACCCCCGACTCCTAATTCCTAAAAACTCCAAATTTTCAGATTTATTGAATATTAAAAAAAAACTTATTTTAATCTAATACTAACGTAGACTCTGATCAATCTCTTTTCCCAGGTTTTATAACCAATAGAATGGCCGAGTGGTATTATCACTGGAATATTAATCCAGAAACCCAGATAACGTTCTGGGGACCTGGGTTTGAATCCCGCCACAGCAGATGGTGGAATTTGAATTCAATAAATATCTGGAATTAAGAATCCAATGATGACCGTGAATGGATTGTGGAAAAACCCATCTGGTTTACTAATGTCCTTTAGAGAAGGAAACTGCCATCCTTACCTGGTCTGGCCTACATGTGATTCCAGATCCACAGCAATGTGGTTGTCTCTTAACTGCCCTCTGGGCAATTAGGGATGGGCAATAAATGCTGCCTGGTCAGCGATGCCCTCATCCTGTGAATGAATAAAGGAAAAAAAAAGGAATGAATGTTCCCTTAGAATTGTTAACTATTTCATTAACTGTCTGCTACTGATTATCTATCTTCATAGAATTACTCTAATATTCTCAGCTATCTTAACCAACATGCCCCTCATACGCATGAAATTGGCTCTATTTAAGTTTAATTCTCTGATGAATTTATGTACTTTACTCTCAAACTACACAAGAAAAGCTATCTTGATCAAACTTCCCAAAGAATCCTTTACTCCGAGATTAGTAATTCATCCATTCCAGATCAAAAATCACTTCTTCCCTGATTTGTCTAACAATCTATTATTTTTGGAAACCATTTCAAATGTATTATGTAAAAACATCTGCAAATTATTTGTGACCATTTGATATGTCCAGTCTATATGAAGATTAAGTTAAAGTCATGATAGTCCTACGAACCATAGGACTTGTCTGTCATCAGGTGGTGGTTTAACCTGAAGATCACCAGGCCTCAGGCTAGGGGAGAGATTGAGAAGAAGAGTCCTTCATGGTAACCTCAGCTTTTATAGGAATTTAACCCATGCTGTTAACATTTCTCTACATCTCAAACCAGGCATCGAGCCAACTGAGCTAACCACATGAAGATTAAAGACCTGCACAACATTTTCATTGCCTTTGTTACATTTTCCTCTGATTTTTGCAAGTATTATTCAACAGTGTAGCTGCTATAAGGGAGCCTATTATTCCTACTAGTGTTTTCTGCTGCTTGTTATTCCTAACTTTCATCCATACTGATTCTATCCCCTGATCCTCTGAGCCAAGAAATCGTTCCTCTCTCCTATCAATATGTCAATTTTCATATCAAGGCTAATGTTCCTTTCCAAATTTGTTTATCTGTTTGAAATGTCATTTGCCCTGGAGTATTTAGTTCCCAGAATCTTTCACCATGTAATCATGTCTCTAAAATGGATATTATGTCAGTGGTGCTGCTGACACCTACATCTAATGGAATAAGGTGTGGGGAATGTGGTAATTTTACAGCCACTGCTGCACTTTAAGTTTTTTTGGTTTGACTACAGAGTAAGCATCAGAGAGGATCAGTTCCAGATTTGTTTAATATGTTGTTCAATGGTTTATTCCCCAACATCACTCCAGTTAATCAAGTAATAGGGGTCAATTATCGAGTGCAAAGGTTTTAAGAGATTCCAAAAGGCAAGATCCAGTGATATTCGCTGTTTGCATCTCCCCAAGGCCAAGACTCTGCACTCACAGATTTATGAAACAGCAAACCCCATGATTGAAAAGTCCACACAGTGAGAGAAACAGTCTTCATACAATCCCACCCGACCACCTTCAGTCATTCAGTTTTAAGTGTGAAGCCCCAGTCCACCAGCAGCTATGAGTCAGCTGAGGAAACTGGTCATGGTATGTGATTGGCTAGTTTCAGTACTGCATTTCTAAACTCCCATCCAGTCAGCAAAATGAGAAACAATATTTGGAGCAACATCAGAAAATATTCTCTTTACATTTTTATTGTGATCCACAGAATACAAGATAACAACATACACCAATCGATACAACATTTACAAACTATAGAATCTTCCAGTTACAGTAAAATGTACAATCAGGAACCCCAGGCCCCATCATCCTTATGTATGAAAGAAATAAAGTACAATTGATTTGTCTTCTTTAATCAGAATAAGGCCTTGTGTTCACGTCAAGCTCGGCTTCCAGAACTTTCATTCCTGGTTAGTGACGGGATCTTGAATCGTCATGGTATTCCTGGAATGAACAGCATGAATACAAAAGTTATTTTTGAATGGACTGGGTTCAGTCTGAATTTGGTGTTTTATTGTTAATGTTGATCATAATTGAGAGACAGTTCTCTGGCACAATTTCCCCAGTTTATACTTACATTTGAAGACATAGCAAGTGATGTTTCTGTTGATTTGCTTTTCACATGCATTAAAATGTTCAGATTAATCAGTTTATCATCGGGAATCAGTGAGACATTTTGTAACTAATACTGAGTATATTAAATCATAAATGGGGAAATGTTAACTCTTGATATTTATGGCTCTCCGCATAAAAGTAAATAAATAAAAATACAGAACTGCCTCAGACTCTATTGCCATGCGGCTGAGCGCAGTCTTCATTGATTTATTCAAGTTAATAATTATCTGACATAAACTTTCAAATTATACTCACATTGGGAGACTCCTCAACTGATGTTTCTGTTGATTCGCTTTTCATCTGGAAAAGCAAGATTTATAATTTATAATTTAAAAGTTTGTAGACAATTTGATCACCTCAAAGCAAAATCTTTAAATACAATCAGATTATAAACAAAGAACTGATGAAACTTTAGATTTCTGGATTGGGGTTCAGCGGCTCACGCGGAAATTTTCCATTTCACAGCCAAGATATTGGACCAGATAAATTCCGTAGTGATGAGAAAGCTTGCTAAATCAAGTGTCAGGAGTTGACTGGTTAGCTTCTTGGTGGTTTGCAAGGCTCAACAGTGAACCATTGCCTCTCCAGAAGCTGCTGCCAGTCGGAGACCATCAGTTTTCGGGTCTGACAGGTTATCGGTGGGAGCCTAGTCCTTTAGGGGTCCACACAGGCGAGATGGTAAAACCTTTTGCTTCAGTTCTCATGGGGTGGGATTTGTAAGGAGAGGAGTGTCAGGGGGAATTGGAGGTAAGGGGCAGGGGTGTTTCAGTGGTCACCACCCCTTGCCACCATCCCCATCCTCCATCGCTCTTGTTAATTGTCCTCAGATTGTAACAAACGGATGCCTCCCCAAATAGGCAGCAGGTCGCTCTGGCTTCCCAGTGACAACTTTTCTCACCCGCCAGGAAAGCAGCTGATTGGGACGGTCACATGTTGAGGCCCTTATGACTATTAATTGACCACTTCAGGGCCATATTTGCTGGCAAATTGGGAAGGAACTACACATCCAGCACTTAATTACTGTGGCAGTGAGATGGGGGCAAGCATGTCTCCATAATGATTCGCTCAATGATTTTCTCCAACCACCACATTCTTGCAGGGTTGGAATGGAGAAATATTCACTCCTATTCTCCCAATCTCAAAACAGCAATAATTAATCCAGCTCTTGGGAAGTGGGGCTGTATTGTTGATGGATAAACTACTGGAAGCCACATTGACCCTTCCATGTAAAGAAATGCTGAGGAAATTGTAATTGATGATGCCCTCATGAAACCGTCAGATCTGCTCGTCGTGTTATTATAGTTCTTGGCAGCGGCAAGTATTTTCCGTGAATCGAGAAAATTCTAAAATGTATGAAATAACTAACAGCTACTGGGCATCAATCCAACAAATCCATAAAGAACCCAAAAGGAACTAAGCATCAGAATCTCCTCAGCCACAGCCTCTGTGCGGGCATTCATTTAATTAAATTCTTTAGACTCTATTGTGATAAACCCAGGTCTCAATGGGCTATTGGCGTCAATATTGATCTGATGGCATATCAGGTAGCTCAGTGTTTAGAGTTTGATTCAGAATAATCCCAACAGAATGGAATCAATTCCTGCACCAGCTGAGGCAGTTCTTGTGACCACCCTGCTCAACTTGCCCCATGATATTACCCATAATTGCCTACCCTCAGTGAATGAGGATGCTCTATGAAGCGAAAGTGAGATAAGCACCTCGTGCAAAATATTTACATCCGGTGAGTCCTCAAGAGATGTTTCTGTTGACATGCTTTTCACCTGGAATAAAATATTTAATTTATATAATTAGCATTTTGCAAATAGTTTTGACTAATGGAATCATTTCCAAACAAAAGCTTTAAATGACATCAGATTATAGGTAAGGAGGTGACAATATTTTGAATTTCAGAGTCACGATTCTTTGACTCAAGTGTTGCAGTGGAGAAAATCGTTGCAGTAATAATCAATCCAGTTCTGGGACAATGGAGCTACAATGCTGATGGGTATACTAATGCAGACCATTGGGATTTATTGTGATGAACCTGCAGGTCCCCTCTAAATCAGACCAGTAAATAATGTCTTTTATTGGTGAGAGGTAGTGTCGTCCTAGTGCCAACGTTTGTATCTGCCCAGTCATGTGGATGTTCAGCTGATATTAACCTCAGAGAAGAACAAACGCTCCCTCTGCATTTGACTTCCCCCTCACCCTCCCCAACACACCCTCTCCCCCAATATCTCAGATGGAAACAAATTAACATTTCAAACTCCATTCCGGCCTAGTTTCATTCCAGTTTTTATACACTTTTTTGATAATTCTGCACAACAAGAAAATAATGTGACAAAGTTTCAAGTTTCTACTCACGTTTGGTGATTCCTCAACTGACATGGGTTTTGCTTCGGTTTTGACCTGTATTGAAATATTAATATTGAAATAATTAGCTCAATGAGACATGTGAACTTCCAAAACGATAGAACCCTCATTGTCCTGATGTGTATAATTGGGAGGTTACCTCAAGACTGTTTTCGTTCAACTCTGATGAGTCACTGTTGCTGTCAACTGTCTTCAATCCTCGACACTGTACATCAATGTCAACAACCTCATCAGCAAAATATGCAACATGGCTTTTGCACAAACCTTTCTCCTGTCAGAACAGAATTGATTAAAATTACAGTCAGTGCACTTTATGATATAACTCAATATACACATTGCTTTCTACAATATAACGCAGAATAAATGGCCCATTCGGGGATATACCTCTGTACCTATGAGTATTTGAGTGTGACAGCACAATTCAGGACTTACTGCAGTCTTTTTGGGACAGAAGTGACAGCTGGGGTCATCGAATTCCAGGCCAGAATTCTTGGAGCAGATGGTTTCTTTCACGGAAAATGTTAAATCCACATTGTACGACAATTTCCCGGTGCGGTGAATCTAATGAGAAGAGAAACGTTTTATTAGTGTCTGACTGCAGCTGGAGTTCTTACTCTGGGCGGATTCACCCATCAGTGTGAGTATAATAAAGCGTTCTGTGGTGTAGATATTCAGTTGGCTGGATGGCTGCTTTGCAAGGGATGGGTTCAAGTACTGTCCTGGCTGAGGTCACCATGAATGTAGCACCTCTTTGACATCGCCTTTCACCCCGAGGCGTGTTGACCTTCAGGTTAAGCAACAACCAGTCCCCTCTGTCTAAAGAGAGAGCATGATGTGGTGGTGCCCTATGGAGCAGCCCGATGGTGCTCTGGAAATATGGCGACCTTACATGTACTTTCAATATGATATTCTGCTGCTTTGTAATAATCCATATTGCTCTGCACTCAGTAATATTCTTGCAGTGTTTAGAGAGTGAAACAGACTGACACACTTACATCCTTCACTCTTCTCCTGGTTATCCCACACAGATTGCTGGTGTCAGTGATTTGGTTCAGTTTTAGAACAGACACTCTCAGAGCATCCTTTGGGCTCGGTATTCCTGCCAAAAGGAAAAGAAAACTGTACAAAACAGACTTGTCCGGAGTTCTTCAGCGAGTTATTTTTACACATTGGTGATATCTCAGCGAGTGAGCCTCATTGCCAATAACTTGTTGCTCAATGGGGTGCCGCTCTCTCTGGTACCTACCTGAGCAGTGGAGAATCTGCACTGCAGCAATGGTGAGGAGGAAAGCTTTCATTCTGCCTCTTGTGTGATCAGCTGGCTGCTTTCTCAGAGTAAAGGAGCTGCTTCTCTCTCTTGCTCTGCCCTTTCCTTGCTGTGTTCAGTCTTTATATCCCGTGTCTCAACCACATTCAAACATTGACTCATATTTACTCGGTTTTAGTCTTGGGCAGGGAAAGCTGCTGCCAAGTGGCTCTAATATGGTCAGAATGTCCGCCCAGTATCGTCATCGTGTTTAGAATTGGTGAGATCAGAGATTGCTCCTCAGAATGTAAAGTGTTTAACTGACAGGGGACAGGAATTGATCACCTGTAACTTGTACAAACTGACATTCAGATCCCTAGATAATTCACCGAGATAAGCTTCCAACTACATATTTGGGATATTGTCATATAAATTATTTTGTAACATTCCCTAACTTTGCCTCACCTCTGCTCACCTACTGCTCAAACCGTAATTCATCCGTTTGTTTCCTCCAGAATTGACTTTTCCAATGCAGAGACCTGGCTGCATTACCTGCTTTTTAATCTCAGTAAATTTGAGACTATCCAGATATCCGCTGCAGATTGCCTAAAGTGCGCCAAATTCTATTCACCCCTTTGCTCACAAACCTACATTGTCTATCAGTTTCAAAAGTGGTTGGATTTTCAAATTTGGATCCTTGTTTTCAAAGTTTTCTACGGTCTCGCCATGCTTATCTCTATAATCTCCTCCAGCCCCATAACGCTGCAAGATATCTAACTTTGGACTTAAGTGCTTATGGATGGAGCTGCTCAGGTAAGCACTGGAATTCTCTCCCCACATCTCTTTCCTTCTCTATAATATCTAACTGTTTGAACAAGCTTTTGGTTATCTGACCTGATATTTCTTCTTGTGACTCAGTATCAATTTAAGTCTGTTGTGAAGCACCTTGGCAATTTTATTAACTTAAATGCAGTGTATAATTATAATATGTTGAATTGTTCCATTGCAGTCCATTGTCTCTCCACGAATTGCACTGGAACATCCTGGGATTGGAGTTTAATATCAAGGCAATATATCCCTGAGGAAGAATCTTTAGGTATTAGAGTTTCTCACAGGGTTCAGGCTGGACCTGAGATAAACCATGGATCTCAGGGACCATGTATGGAGCAGGAAATCAAATGGTTTGAACCATTAAATCGGGTGTCATCTCATTATCAGCGTGCCCATCAACTGCCCACTCATTCTGTCCCAGTGAGGGTATGGTGGAGACATCAGGTGGATGCCCACCTTTGTCCCAGTGCAGGACTTTAAGTGGGCAGATAATGCTCATTCATGTTCACATCCCACCATCAGCCAGATTTAATGAGTGCCAGCAGGGGACATTGTTCAATGTTCAGCCTGACAGGCTCGTCGCTGTGTGCTGCTGGAAAGTGAAGTGTTGGATGCCTGCTTTCCAGCGTCTGCTGCCAGTTGGAGGCCCTTATACCAACAGTTTTTCCTCCATGCCACCACCGTTCCATCCACACCCCCACTACATGCTCTCACCACCCTGCTGAGTCCTGCCTCAGATCCCTGAAGGCCCGAGTCAAATACGGATTTGATCCTCCTTGGCCCAGCTGCAGTACCGGCAGTGACCACTGCTCCCAGGTGTGCTATTGATACTGCAGAGTTGTTAGACTGACTGGCCAGAGATAGTAGGCACTGTCGATGCTGAAGAATCTGAGATAACAAGATGTAGAGCTGGATGAACACAGCAGGCCAAGCAGCATCAGAGGAGCAGGAAGGCTGATGTTTCAGGTCTGGACTCTTCTTCTCTGAACTGGCCAGCTGGCTATGAGGTAGAACATTCTCCAGGAGAGGAAGGGAATAGTGTCTCCTGATAACGAAAGGTCCATCAGCTGGAAAATTAGAACAGAGGGAGAAAGCAAAGCAGAAGTAAGCCTACCTCTGACATTGACATTGGGGTGCAGGGAGATTGCCTCAGCGTATGATAACCTGAAAAAAAAATACAGTAAAAGCCTGTTGCAACATTGAAGTAGGCCAGTGTACTCATCAAACAAATGCAAGCTCTTTGCTAGAACAGAACTAACCTGGTTACATTGTTGCCTTTCCATATCTCTGTTTTCCTTCTGATTACAACTTATTTCTCACCTGAGTTCCACGCCACAGAGAACAGCCGAAACGTTCCTAGTGGTTAACTTTTAATTTTGGGCTGAATCTTAAGTTTTTTTGAACAAGAGCAAGTTGTGTAAATTGTTTTGAAGGGAGTGGCGTGCAAAGCCCAGTGGGATTTCTTGCCATATCCTATCAAACACAAATCATTACCTGCCTACCGAACACCCAAGGTGTCCTTCATGTCTGATTCAAGGCTCATCTTACCAGGCGCTATTCCCGGAACAATTCAACATGCAGAAGATGAACTGAAAGGCCAGCATCCCTTGTGCCCATACCACCTTTGAAATCCTGTTGTGCACTCAGACTGTCAATCCAGAGCTGCCCTGTATGGTTTCTGAAACACCGAGGCATGTTTGGGGCAGAGACCTGGAACTCCAGCTGAATAGTATTGCGCAGACACAGAGTGTCCTCTTCCCTTGCAACATGCCAATCTGTTCCGAGGTTGCCTCTCGCGTCAGTGCCGTCTCAGCATCAAGAATAATGCCCAGCACTGAAGGAAGACGGTCAATGACCTTTTCCACTCCGCTTGCACAGTGCCATCTTCTTCTCTCTGATACCTCACACTCACTCTATCTCTGCTACTGAACCCGCCTCCTACAGAAACACATGCTCTGCCAATCTCACTATTGCCTGTGACATCTTCCCCATTCACTCTCACTCAACACAATCACTGACACCTCTAACCCTGAATTCCTACACACGCACTCAGGACACCTCATCATCTGCACGAGAAATAGTTGCCGTGCAACCCACTTAAGCAGCTGATCTGATAATCCTCAACTCCACTTTCCTGCTTTTTCTCTGTAACACTTGATACACTTACTGATTAAAAATCTGTCTCAACCTTGAATTCACTAAACAACTCAACCTCTGGAATGTTCAGTGTTAAAACAATTCTACAGATTCACTCCCCTCTGAAAGAAGAAATTTCCTCTCAATTCTGTCCTAACTGGGTGACTCCTTTCTCTGAGATTTTGCCCTCTGGTTGTAGACTCTCCCACAGGGGGAAATAATCTGTTTGCATTTACACTGTCAAACTTCTAAGAATCATGTACGTTTCAATAAAGTTGTCCCGCATTCTTCTAAATTCCAATGAATACATGCCCAAAAAACTCAACCTCTCCTCATTAGACAGTCCCTCTGTACCCAGGATCAACCTAGCGAACTTTCTCTGGATTGCTTCCAATGCAAGTATACCTTTGCTTAGATATGGGGCCCAAACCTGTTCACAATATTGCCAAAATGTATAGCCACACATTTTCTCACATTATATTCTATTTGCCAGGTTTTTACCCACTTGTTTAACTTGTCTATATCCCTTTGCAGAGTCTTTCTGTCATCCTTACCACTTGCATTCCCATCTGCTGAACTATTTTTGTGTCATCCACAGACTTGGTGACAACACATTCACTTATGACAATAAAAGCACTTGCGTTGCCCTATGCCTTAATATCTACTGCAAACAATTATGACCCCAGCACTGGTCACACTGTGTGGCACTCCATGAGTTGCAGTTTGCCATACAGAAAATGACCTTTGTCTCAACTCTGTCTTCATTTGGTTAGCCAATCCTCTATCCACGCTAATATCATACCTCCAACAACATGGGCTGCTATTTTATTAAGTAGCCCAGTATGTGGTACCTTATTGTACCACTTTTGGAGATATTGTGCCCTGAAATGCTGGTTTCCAGTGCCCAATATGGATTTCCCTCAGAGCAAGTGGCAAGCTGAATTTGTCAGGTACCCACTCTGACTTCTTTATCGAGAACTTTCAATGCCAGTTCAGCAAGTTTGGTAAATAAGGAAGCTGATTGTTAATGAGGTGAGTTGTGGCATTAATAAGGTATTTATCAGGCTAAACTCTCATTTATTTGGCAACTTGCTACTGCCTGGTGAGAGACTTGCCTCACCACTCATTAAAAACATAAAAGTTGCTGCAACTGTTTCCCAATGTTGAATTCGGCTTTGCTGGACTTCTCAACTGACTCTGCCACACAAAAAAAAGTTCTTCCCATTATCTTTAATTCCTACATTTTTAATTATTTAAGCCTGTTGTTAAAATGACAGCATTTGGTAAATATAAGTTGTTATAGACTCACTCTAAAGATCCTACCCAGCTGTGTATATCTGGGTGATACAGGTCATTGAGTTGACTCACATTGCTGTGTGCGGATGTAACATCTTCTGGTATTCTGGAGGCTGTGTGTTAACAGTCCCTGCTCCTGTGACAGTTTTTTGGCCAAATTCCCTCTCCATCTGTTCCACTGAGACTCTCTATTTGAGTCCTCAGGTCTTTGTGGTTTGTGGGAAACATTTCCCAGTTCCAAGTCACATGCAGTAAACAGCAGGACAGTTTCCAGATTTCTCAGTTGGCAATGAACAGATTAAAGTTTCAAAAGGATAAAAGCAACATTAACTCAGTAACTTATACATTCACACTGTGACTGGTTAACACTACACTGTAAATCCCTAACTTATTCCCTGGGAAAATCAGATTTAATTCTTTAATCTGCTCTATTAGAATCACTTCTTAAGAAATCAATCAGTGGTGCAGCTATTTTTATGTTCATTCAAGGGATGTGGACATATTTGGCAAGGCTAGAAATGTTATTATCGCTCATCTTTACGAAACACCTAATATAAACCACCCTATGTTCAATACAATCAAATGGTCAGATAAGTTAATCTAAGAATGCTTTAGCCCAGTGGTCACAATGGAGGTGACTTGCATCCTAATTTTGTGTGACTGTAGTTCACAAGCAGCAGCTTTGATCAAAGCTTGATTACTTTATGAATCCAGGTCAATGTAGCATCTGCAGCCTGTGCTCTGTTATTAAAGGAGCCACAGAGAAAAATTGCTGGAGTGAGCAGATTTCTTTGCAATGTGTCCCTGACAGTAAAGACTATTCAGCCCTATCACATGTAGGAGCTGCACAGAGGGATT